TCAATCGGTCAGTGAGGCAATCAGTCAGTCAGTCAATCAGTCAGGTAGTCAGTCAATCAGTCAGGCAGTCAGACAGTCAGGCAATCAGTCAGTCAGTCAATCAGTCAGTCAGTTAGTCAGTCAGTCAATCAGTCAGTCAGTCAGCCAGTGAGTCAGTCAGTCAGTCAGGCAATCAGCCAGTCAGTCAGCCAGCCAGCCAGCCAGCCAGCCAGTGAGTCAGCCAGCCAGCCAGCCAGCCAGTGAGTCAGTCAGTCGGCCAGCCAGTCAGTGAGTCCAGCCAGTCGGTCAGTCAGTCTACCCCAGCTCTAATAGGCTCACTGTCCCCGAAAGTCCGCCAGGCAGCTGCTTCGCGGTTTCCAGATCCCCCGCTCGTCCGCAAAGGCCGCCGAGGTGGAACAAGGTCGCTGCGATCTCCAACTGGCCACGCCGGTGTGAACACCACCGCGCTTTCAAAAAGAGAACATGACGTGGGCGTTTGCCACGGGGTCCAGCTCATTTCACAAATAGCTTTCCACGTGTTGATTTCAGAATGCTTCTTTTCGTCGTCGTTCGTTCCATGTGAGAAAGCTTCTCTGGTCTTGACACCTACCCAAATGGCAGAACACTCATCCTTTTGCTGGTCAAACAAAAGAGCCAAAGACCCCCGACAGGACAAACAACCGGAAACTCGTGGAAATGCGACGTCGCCGCTAATCCCTTCTCCCTACCCCGCCCCCCCCCCAAAAAAAAAAAACGCACACACACACACAAACGCCCAGCCCTTTTTGCCAAGAAGGGAGGCGAACAGGAAGGCTGGCAACATACAATGTCACACTGATAATTCAAATACTGGGGATGCGCAATCATGATCATCATCGGCCGTCATTATCCTTTTCTTCTATGTGACCAAAAAACAAAAACAACACAATACAAGAAACATAAATAGAAACAATCATAAAAAAGAAAAGAACATAGAAGCACCACCACCACCACCATTGACACATTGACACAGCGCTTCGGCGCTTCTCCGCGGCGCCTGCTCCGCCTCCCCGTGGAGCCGCCGTTGCATGCGCACCGACTCCTCTCGGTTGCTTTCTGCTCCCCTGCTAAAAGTGACTAACTGTTAGTGCCAAAAAACGGAAAACCCTTTAGCTGGCAAAAAGTCAACGCAAAATGCACCAAAGAGCTCTTGCTCCAAGTTCGGGTTGCTTCCCCTACTCACTTCCGATCGAGGGGATTGGCCAAAAAGAAAAGGTCGAAACTTTCTGTTTACCAGCCCCAAAACTGCATGAACCAAACTTTCTATTTACCCCCAAAAGGAACTGAAGTCCATGAAGCTTACCTAGTGGGTCAAATTCGGAAGCCCAACCACAAAAAAAAACCAACAAAAAAGCTAAACCCTAAACCCTACCACTACCAAAAAAGCTAAGAGGAAGCGGATGGCTAGCCATGGCGCAGGCATCGAGTCCTGGAGGCACTGCTTGGCGGTCTCCAGGTCCCCGGCGCGGCCCCGGAGGTTGCCCAAGAGGTGCAAAGCCGCCGCGATGCCTGGCTAGGGGACCGGTCCTAAGGAGAGCCAAGCCGGGACCCAAATAAGGAGGGGAAATTGGGAAAAATAATAAATTTGGAAATTGGGGGAAATTTTGGGGAAATGTTGGGGAAAATTTGAGAAATTTCGGGGAAAATTCGGGGAAATCGAGGGAAAACCAAAGGAAAACCACAGGAACACCAAAGGAACACCGGGGGAAACTATCAAAAACCGGAGAAAACTAAGGAAAATGGTGGAGAGGGGAACCAAATAAGGAGGGGAACGGCAAAAAGCGAAGCCAAAAAGACGAAACCAAAAGAAGTAAAAGAACCCACCCCTGCGCACAAAAATCAACACCAGAATGAAACAGAGCAAATGAGGGCAAGAACGTGACCCTGGGGGTTGCGGGTCATAATACAATAAGGTTTGGGAAGGACATCGCTGGATAATAAAGAGGGGAACACCAAAAAGCAAAACTCGGGGAAACCAGGGAACACCAAACAACAAAACCAGGGGAAACAAGATAACACAGATCTTGGGAGAAGAACAAAACACACAGATCTGACTTATTGGAGGAAAGATCGCCCGGCTCACAAATGATTTTAGGAAGTTGAGAAACCCAAGTTGCAAGTTGCATGACCAACCCTGAAGTAGGATAACAACACAGTACCGCATGGAATGTCGGCTGCAGCTTTGTTGCGTAGCCCTGAAACAATGAGACATGCCAGCCTTATATTTGGTAGCACCAGGGACCAAAGCAACACCTCTCTCAGGTTTGGAGGGGCCAAAGCAACACCGCTCTGAATCCATTTACGGGACATGGATGTTGCCTGAACGGGGTTTCAACATGCTTCACACTCTGGCCATGCCAACGCCCCAGTTTCTCTCTGACAGGATGTGGGAAGCTGATGTGTTCCAGTCAGAAGTTCTTTGAATTTCCGGAGGCTTCAAATGCGATACATTGCACACATAAGAGCCTCGAAGGCTCGCCTCGAACCCTGCGAGAGTCATTTTGTTCCTAGATCTTCTCCCCCCAGCCGTTGTTTTTTTTGTTTGTTTTTTTTTCCGCCCAGCCGCCCCAGTGCGGCGTTTGGAACTCGTGTGGATGCAACAGCTTTGTTCCTTTAGCGAAAGACAGAGGCAAAGCAGTGGAGTTTATCTGGCCAAAGCCTTTTTGGCTAAGGTCCTGGAGCGGGGGCCTCGTTGTTGGAAAACGGACTTGCAACAACTTCCTCAGGTATTTGGAAGGCCTTGAGGCTCCACCGAGCAATAAGAAAAGGAACCCCAACAAGTCGGCGTCCTTTCCGGAGACTTGCGAAATGGCTGTGGGTCAAAATATGTACCCCAAATGGAATCCTGGTAAATGGAAACATGCACGAACCCCGGTCCGATTCCTGGTTTCATTTCGACCCATACCTAAATCACCAAAGTTCTGGTTCTACATGGCCTTCGAATTTTTCCCCGGAGACTTGGGATCTGGGATCTTGGGGATCGCCCGCTCTCCCGCCTGGCTGATCCGTGTTCCCATGCAGCGCCCGGTTCATGCGCAAGGACTCCTGCAGGTACCGCTTCGCCGCGTCCGGGTCCCCCGCGTTGTCACACAAGTAGCCCAGGTCGTACAGGGCCGCGGCGATCTCCTAAGAAAAATAAAAAATGCGCCGCCGCGGGTTAAAAAACATCGCATGATGTTGAACCCATTTTAATGAACCCCAGTTTAACAAATTTCACAATAGGGGGGTGAAACATCATCGCATCATGTTGAACCCATTTTAATCAACCCCAGTTTCACAATAGGGGGTGCTTCTCCCTGGGTGAAATGTGGTTGGATTCAGACCACTTTTGGAGGGGCCAAGAACCCCCTATGACTGGACATGGACCAAACATGGGAAACCAAAAGGTGACAAGGTCAGCTTTAGCTTTGGGAAAGTGAGTTTTTGTTGACAGAAGAGAAAAAAAACAACAACAGTTTTTCTTCCCGTTTGGGGTGGGGTTCTTGGCCGCTCCAAAAGTGGTCTGAATCGCCACATTTCACCCAAAATCGGACACCCCGCGTATTGTTAAACTGGGGGTGATTTCTGTGGGGTCAACATTATTTGCAAAGCAAACCGAGGCTTCCAGTCTGGTGACCGAAAGCCGCGCAAAAAAGCGGCACAAAGAAAAGGGAAATGAATGGGCGCCTCTAAAGAAGCTTTTCCAATCATCCAATTTCGCACAAACAAGAACGCACAATACACAAAATACATGGTGAGTGAAGGGGCCTCTATGTGCAACAGGGTAATTTACTCGGAGTTGTCACCCATGATGCAGCAAACTCTTGTGCATCTGCAGCTGCCCTAATTATGAACCTATCCTTCAGTGTCTGATGATGCTGGCACATACCTAGGTCCTCCAGTAGAGAGTTTAGAATCAGGGTACCAACCCTGCCCCAAAAAAGGGGCAACATGGGCACCTGGCTGGGGGACCTAGATATGCAAGGCGCAGCCCCGATACGAGGCCGCCCTTCGGCAAAAAGCCGCAGGGTCCCTGCAAACGGGGCTCTTCAGAGCGCTCTTGGGTGCGGCGACAAGGGAAGATACACCCTTCAATTGGGAACCAGCAACTACTGGTGGACCAACTAGTCAAGATTTCCTGGAGCCAGCATGTTTTGTTCTCCAACAGTTGAGGGAAATCAACATGAGTCATCAAGCATCTAAAGGGGGCTGTTTGGACCATGGACGCGCTCTGGATGTGCCTGAACCTACGTTTGCGTAAAGGTTTCCCTTTAAAACCATCAGGGGGGAAAATAGAAATTCTGCTTCGGCAAACGAAAGAAGTTTCTTTTGAGCAAACCAGAAGTGACCCCAAGTCACTGTTTCCGCGTGGCTCTGGCGCCGATTTGCGCGCGCGTTTCGCGCAATCCGAGTGTCCGGGTGGTCGGTGTTGCCGTGGATCCGGCGCTTCATCTGCAGGGAGTCCCGCAAGTAGTCCTTGGCCTTCTGGGCGACCTTCACGTCCTGGACATCGCCTGCCAGCTGAGATCTGCTATGTCTGGGCCCTTGGCATAGCCCGTACATCTACCTTAAGGGAGCAAAATCCCCCCAGTTCCATTTCCTAGTATTTGCAAGGGAACATGTTTCCTATTGCATTTAAGGGACTCCTTGAAAAAAACGATTTTCCAGTAGTGAACTCCAGCAGTGATAGATAGATTCCCTTTAACACCGAAAAGGGAAAATCAAACAACCTGCAGAGATCTGCTCAGCTCCTTGAATCTTAGCTTGGCCGGGCATTGCCGCGTTGACGCGTTGCCGGGCAGCTTGTTCTCATTTGCTGGCATTCAGTGAGGGTATGTGTCTCTTCGGCCATGTTGAAAATCAACATGCGGGTATAAACCACCATCAAAAGGGTTTCCTGCATCCCGCCGCAAAGCAGAGGAGAGGCTGTAAATGAAAAGGACGAATTGGACAACCATCCACCTCCTTGTATTTGTCTAGGTCCTCCAGTAGAGAGGTTAGAACAAGGCTACCAACTTTTTCTGTAGTTTATTTGAACCCTGCCCCCCAAAAAAGGGGTCAACAAGTGCGCTACTGGGGGACCTAGTTGAGATCTCGACTCCTTCAATCTTAGCTTCCCTTGAAGATGTGTTTCATCTGTGGCTAGATCTGAGACTCATTTTTGCTTGAATCCTGGGTTTTTTAAGCGTGGTCTTTAGCATTGTTGCGTGATGTGGGGTTTGGTGGTTTGGTGGCTTTTCGGCGGTCCCCCCTTTCAATCCCAGAACGGTTTCCCCCAAGACATACACTCGGAAAAGGGCTCCCTCCAAGGGTCCTGGGCTCTCGGGCGCAGCGCCTTCCAAAGCAAATGGCGCATCGTGATGCGGTCAACACGATAGCCCTGGAAGGCCCCAAGAAGATACGCTTTGGTCGACTTGATGCTCGGAATGTTACTCAAACATCGCAACACCAGAAGGGGACATGCCAGAACACGGCAACTCGCGGATGCTCCCTTGACCGGATGGAGGCTCGTAGATGGCTTGGGAGAAAGGAAACGCCGCAAACATCGACTTCAAATGTAGTGGTTTTAGCTTCCTGCCATGTGCACAGGGTCTTTTCAGCCCTACCATCCCACCAAAGGCGACTGCCTTTCACAGCCGGCCGTTGGCAACACACCCTGGCCCCGGCTTCAACTTGAGAGACTTCACTGCGTTTCTTGGAACCTCTTGACCGTGATTCAGTGATAGGCCGCTTCATGGCAGTTTCCCGGGCCTCCCCAGAGACGCAGGCTGGATTTGGAGTTGCAAGCTAGCGGACTAGACTTCAACTCCCTACCCAATTGAATCTAGGTCCTCCAGTGGAGAGGTTGGAATAAGGGTACCCTTTTTCTGTTGTCTATTTTAGTTGGGGAACCCTCCCCCCAAAAAAAATGGTAGAAGGGCACTACTGGGGGAAATCAAAACCCGGTACAAACATGGTTCACCCAGAACCATGCTTCAAGAAGGTGGATATCCGCAGCAAACCTATGGTTGGGCTTTTCCCTCACTACCTGGGTTTTGATGGTGACTCATTTGAGGCCACATCGCCTTGCGGACTCCTTGCGGAGTCCGACACCCCCGCCTTCCCCGAAGAAGCGCCCCAGGGCACGCAGCGTCTCCGCGATGTCGGGGTGGTCCTCCTCCCCGTGGAGGTACTGCAGCTTCTGCAGGCAGATCTGAAGGTACCGCGCGCCGGCCTGGCAAACTACTTTCGCGTTCAAACCTAGCGGTTGAACAACGCCGAGGTCCACATGGTGGAATCAACTGGAATTAAACTGGCCTGAGGAACCACTTTCGCATAACATTCCGGTTGAACAAAGTTGAGGAGACGTGAGGCGGTCAAATATATGTTAGGGCCTGTTGAATCAAACTGAGCAAGGGCGGGCTGCAGGATGATTCACTGGACTGGCGATTGCGTACACTGTACACTTGATATCGCAAATTCGACATCGACTCACTCGCGGAGTTGCCACTGAGTCCATTGAGCAATAGTCGTATTGCCTAGGTCCTCCAGTAGAGAGGTTAGAATATGGGTACCCTTTTGGCACATGGCGCATCCGGATCGGCTGCGCTGGTGAGTGGGGCATGCCGCCCCACCACCAGTAACGGAGGCCCTCAGGGCCGTGACACGACAAAGCTCCTCGGAGAGCCAAAGGCTCAATCCGCAGGCCGGGTGAGCAGGCCCACCGGCGCACTGTACGACAAGGCGCGCCGGGCAAAACCCCGGCAGCCACCAAGAAAAGGGGCAGGCACAAACTGCTGTACAAGCGTAGGGCCCGAAGTTGGACAAGCAAGCCCAAGGAAGTCGGGACCTCCGGAGCCACTGGCACACGCCACAGGGATATGGAAAGCACCATGAGGTAGCAGCCCTAACGACCCAAGGGCACGATGGGCAAGGCAGCCCGCGTCACCACCGTCGAAGAAGCCCAAGGTGTCAAAAGGGCACAACCCACACACAGGTAGACCCGCCCAGAGAAGCAGATGCAGAGCGTGAAGAGAACGAGGCATCAAAGGGGCCGAAGGCGCACAACGAAGAGGGCCAGCAATACCTTCACCCCATAAGAAAGGGGGTCGAGGCTGGGACTGACCTAAACAAAGGCCAGGATGCCTCCCGGGTGAAGCGGACCGGCAACGAATGCGTCACCAAGCGGATAAGCTCCCCGAAGACGACACATCACAAACACGGCGAATGAAGAGGGTGACCAGGGGGTGCACGAGGAGCAGGTTGAAGACAGAGCTGCCAGCCATGGCTTTTTGGACGCAGGACCGGGCAGTGGAGCCCCAGCCCTGCCCCGGGGGCTCAGCTCCCTGAGCCGAGGGGTGCTTGAACCCGGACGGCTGTATGGGTACCCTTTTTTCTGTAGTCTATTTTAGTAGGGGAACCTTCCCAAAAAGGGTTAAAGGGCACCTAGGTGGGGGACCTAGTTGTTGTTACCAGGAGCAAAAGGCACCACTGGGCAGCTGCATTCCCAAGCAGCCTAAGTACCCCAAAGTCAGAACTGCAGAACATCTACAAGGGCTTGGGTACCTTCGCCATTCTTCCCAGGGATTCTTCTTTCCAGAAAACCTCCGAAAATTCAGGGAAAACGCATGGTTTTTGTAAGGAACGATGGCATGAACAGAATGGACCAGGCATCAAGCCTTAGCACACATCAACCCGCGAACCACCCTAGGTCCTCCAGTGGAGAGGTTAGAATAAGGGTACCAACTTTTTCTGTAGTCTAATTCAGTAGGTGAACCCTGCCAACCAAAAAAGGGGTGAGAAAGAGGGGGACCTAGTTGTTGTTACCAGGAGCAAACGGCGCCACTGGGCAGCCCATGGCCCAAGCAAACTTGCTCCATCCCTCGCTCACATCCCTTGAATCCAAGTCCCCCAAAGTCAGACAACTGCCAAAAAAACCCACCGAATCCAACCCCACCGAACCACCGAACCGCATCGAACGGACCGGTCCCCCGACCGAAGCCGAGTCCCGGGCCCCGGGCCCCGCCTCTGCATCCGCCCTCTTCTCGCACAGCAAGCTGATGGCCCGGAGCCCCGTCACCGCCACGTCCGGCATGTGCCTCAGGCCCATGGCCTCGGACGCGGAAGGCTCGAAGACCCGCGCGCGGGGAAACCTCGGAAACGGCCCTGCATGTGGGGAAGAAAAAGCCGCCCTGAGCATGCAAAGAGCCAAAAAGAAAAGACATACTTCTTGGAATCTGGCTTAGGCTGCGTATCCGCATGTTGATGTTCAACATGGCCGAAGAGACCCATACCCTCACTGACTCATTGAATGCTAGCAAATGAGAACAAGGGTCTCATGGGAGCCTGACGCGTGCTTGCATTGCCCAGGAATACCCAGCCTTTGACACGCGTGCAACGCGGTTACAATAATGTGAGTGACGAATCCGAGTTGTCACAGGACTAGATTCCTCCGAGAACCTCGTTAAATGCCATCCAGCATGCTGGGCCCCTGCTTTGTCGTTTCCAAAGGTCCTCCAGGGATCGGTCCCGAGGATCCGGACTCTGCATCAGCTGGCTCGTGCCTCTATCGCTAAAGTACAACCGAACGTTGGCTTGGTCAAAACTGGAGAGATTGGTTCATAAAAAAATAGTTGACTGGCGCATGCCAGACTGTGTGGTGTGGCCTCCTCGACAGGGACCAAAACTTTCCAAGCACAAACCGGTTGAGTTCTACTCAGCCCAGTGGCCATGGGCAAAAAAAGGGGGCATCCTTGTTTGGTTGGTTGACTTTGAAGGGGACACCTTCCCCAAAAAAAGAGAGAACAAAAAAAGGGACGCAACCCACTGGGCAACTGACTCGGTCTATTGAACACCAGCCATGCACCATGTTTTTTTTTAACACCAGCCATGCACCATTTTTTTTGAGAAAAAAAAGCACGCTGGGGGTGGGCCAAATGAGAGGCTCGGCCACCCAGCCGCGCCCGTGCCTCGTCCATGCACTTCTTCGCCTCGGGGAGGTTGCCTTCCCGGACCCAGGCGCGGGACAAGTAGATCAGCGTGTGGGCGATGTCCTGTGTGGCCGGAAGAATCGGACCCCGGCAAAAACACGGAAAAACACACAATTACTTTTGCCTGGTGAGTGGAAAAGAAATACAAAACCCCCAAAAAGCAACAACTTAAAAAGGGAACTAATTCTGGGGAAGATGATAGGTCTTGAGGCCTCGGAGGAAAAGAAGTGACGCCTTTCCGAGTTTGATTTGAAACAGATGCGTGGGGCGGACCTCAACTCTACACGTCCATTTTCCGGTTTGGCAAAAATCGGTGCTTCGCGAGGTCAGGTCGAGACACTGCAGAAATCCGATTTCATGTCATTTACACGCCCGTCCATTGCCCATCCGGCGAAAATCCGTGCTGCTGCAAAGTCAAATTCCATTTCGGGTAGCTCATCCTTTCCGACCACCGGCTGCGCTCTAAAAGGGATATCGCCAACCACGGAAACAGCATTCCATTCCAGGGTTTGATTGTGATTGGGTCCGATTGGCCTTCATCAACTGGGAATGACAACCAGCAATTAAGCTGACAGCAAGACCTGCCTCCGACCTTGTTCTGGGTGGAACATAGGGAGATCTGGCAAAACAGACAAAACGCATTGTCAATCTCTTGCTGGACTGAAACACACGCGTCATGTCCCACCGCGCTATTTCGGGAGTCCATCAGCTTGCTCAGCCCGAGCAAGGATCTATGGATACGTGAGATGTCAGTCATTCGTGCCGTTTCCGCGAGACCAATCACCTAATCGGGTACACAAGCAATAAACCATGCACATGGGTGCATATTGAATGTGTATCGCGGGTCGCGATTTCCTGTGTGTGCTGAAGGGAGTTACGCTATTTCACCAAGCAAAGATAGGGGTTCCTTTTTAAATAAAGGTTACACCCCCCCCTCCCCCCCTTGCAAAGTCCCATCCTGATCTCTCCCTTGTAGATCGCGGGTCATCTTCAAGCTATCTTGGAGATGCTGCTTTGCCGCTTGAGGATCATTCCTCAGCCAGTCTGAAGCCGTCGATGACACAAATCGACACGATTCATTGCAGGTTTTGGATGTGGGGATCCATTGTGTCGTACAATCTTCGCCTTGGGACATCCTGGCCTGCACGAAAGTGCGGCTGCGTTGGGAATTAGGTTGCTATTTGGCAAGTCACGAGGATCAGCCATGAGATGGACGGATGATATGGAGCGAATAGTTGCTGTCAATCATATATGCTGTGACAAGAACGTAATCATATGCATAAGTTTGAACAGCATTGAACAACTGGGTAGAATAAAGGTAGTCTCTTTTAGTAGGGGAACCCTCCCAACCAACAAATGGGTGAGAAAGGGCACCAATCGCTGGGGGACCTAGACAAGATCAGACTACCAGGCTGTTGGGAATGAACCTCTTGGTGGTTACACGGTGAGCACCAGCCAGTTCAAAATGGATCCCGGCGGATCCTGGTGTTGCCAAATCCCTAAGCTACTTTTTCGACCCTGTCCAAAACAGAGTTTGGGGGAGCAAGCTCGCAAATTAAAGCTCCCTCCTGCACATTTATTCATAGAACAGCCCAAGCCACATGGACACTAACTGTCTCCCCCACAGCACGTCAAACAACAAAAGATCCCTCCTTGCTTTTGCAGTTTCAGGGCATACCCGGCACATTGGGTTGGGTCAGCACAAAGTCCAACTCAGGACTTACCACGCCGGATCCTACCTTGCTGCAACTTGCTTTGGCCTGACACCCATGATACCATCATGAAGCTTCTCCTTGTGGTGGATGTGGGCCACTGCCAACATTGTTCTTTCATGGCTTGTTGTGGTTGTGAGACACATGTATATGTATATGCAATATATATATATATGTATGCCTGCAACCTGCTGGACCTGCAAATTTTAGGTCGTGACCCCTACGCCCTTTTCTTGAGGGGCGTTTTGAAGGCTTGAGCAAATTTCAGGTCGTTCCCCCAAAGCACTGCAGCTCCATGTGGCTCAAACACAACCAGAAAGATCCTGCGGATGCCGGGCAGCTCAGCTGGGACATTTTGCTCATTGGAAAGCACGCATTCACGAATCATCAAGTTCCCTCCTAGTGGCTAGCAAATATCTTTGTATGGTCCGAAGTGATTGGCAGCGAGGGCTCACACGTCGAGATAGGCGGGACACTCTCCCCACAAAATCTTCACATTGGAACGTTGAAGCGCAAAGCGGGTTAAGACTGTAGGCAAGCCCTCCTTCCACTTCTACTCGTAGCTTTAGGCCAAGATGGTGCCAATAATGCAGCTTTGGGGTGAGATTGTAGAGGCACCAGCCCTGCTGCCAAAACAGGGACGCAAGCTTGCTATAACACTGCAGGAAGTGAAGTGCTGCATCCCCAATCATTTTTGCTTCATTGGAGCTGAGCCAAAGGGTGCCTGCCAGCATCACCTTCATGCAGTGTGAAATAGCTTTGCACGCCGAGACAATGAGCCGGGCAGCTTTGTCTTCCTTGGCCCCATCCACCTTGTTTTCCAGTAGCCACTGGCAAAAGAAAACCATGACTGGCGTGTCCATTGCCTTGTTCCATTTACCTGCAGGGAAATCATTGTCAGAGTCGTAGCCCAAAAGGTCCCTGGTGATCTTCTTGAAATGGATGTGTTTCTTGCAATCTTTTAGGCACTGCCGCAAATCTTCATTCAGCTTGCAAATCGCAGCGGGCACACTGCCTGCTTCAAAGAGCCAACAAATATACACCAGGCTGCTAGCAGCAAAGTCGCGACCTACCCCCAGATGATAAATATGCAGCACGTCCAACTGAAAGAAGCTTGCGGGGTTTTGCAAATTGATGGGCAAGTGGTCCAAGAAGGGTGGAAATGCTTGCCATGGCGGTTGATTGCCTGCACCAGTTGTCGGCAGCCAGCAAGGAGAATCTGAGAAATCTTCAAAGGGTAGTGGATGAGGCCCTTGTTCTGAACCGGCCATGCACAGAAAGCAACAGCCACTCAATGGCTTGGAGTACGGCCCGACAGCACGCTTGCGAATATGGCCGAATGTACGATCCATGTTTCCAGCTTTTGCCAAAAACGGCAAATCACCTTTCACTCCAACAATGCACATGTGAAAGGTGCGTTCTCCGCATGCGATGCCGGTCCAATACAGCTGTTCAAAATCTTTGGCCAGTGCCACCAGAAACTTGGTAAAGACCATGGGCTTCTCAGCATATGATTCCTTTTGCAAAACGCCAAAAAGAAACCTGGTCGTGAACGAGTGCTTCTGCATGTTGATTCCGATGGAGTCCCGTTTGAGCGAACACGCATTTGACCTTGCCGTTCCATGGCCCAAAAGGGGCTGCCACTGCATCACCATGAGCTCATCTCGCTTATATGTTCTGCCACCATCTCCATGGATAAACAAAGGTACCAGTTTGGAAGCGTCAAGAAGCCCATCGTCCAGGTGCGAAAACACAGCAAGATCAGGCTCCGACGCCCTCAAACGATTCCAGAATTGGCTCAGCACAGCTTCGCCTAGGCGATCGAGGTGTTCAATGTCAAATGGATGCATGTCCCCCCTACAGAGACGAATGGGAATTCAGAGAAAGTGGATGTAAGCCGAATCTGGTCCCATCCATATAGTGAATGAGTGGGCTACTTTTCAATCAGCATATGTGCGATATTGCATCGATCTGTTCATGTGGTTGAATGGTTTGAGCAACAAAACAATTGAGAAAAACACTCCACACACGAACTCTGGAAGATGTGAATTGTGTTCTTCAACACCCGATTTGGACATGGGCGAGGGCCTTTTGTGCAGAACAGGGTCCGCAGGAATCCTTTTTTGCATGGGGGTTGTGTTTCTATCAATCCCAAACCACGCATGTTTTGACCTTCGTCCAACTCCTGACGTCAGCAAACCAGTTTGTTTTGCGATCATAAAGATGCATGAAACTGATTTGTGTGAAGGGGCTGGTAATCCAAGAAGAACATACCAAGTACCGTGGGCGGGCTGGTGCCTGCATGCAACTACCTTTCTCAAACACACACAGCTTTAAACATTTGTGACATGTTTTGAAAGGTTTAGACCGCTAGAAACCGACAATGCGCCGGCCCTTATGTATCCAAAGGGCTCTTGGAGAGAGAGCACCCGAGCACCTTGTGCATGTAGCCACGGGCAACCAAAGCCGCAATGTAGCTCGAAGGCTTCAGGCATGGAACAAGGTGCGCAGAACCCAAGTCTTCATATGTAATTTCCACATCCAGGGTCAAGTCAAACTTTCGCAAGGCCTTCTGCAAAGTTTTCTCAGCATCATTCTTGGGACATTTTGCTATTGCATGGATTGCACTGTTCGACGAGCCCGGCGCAAAGGCCTTCGCGATGTCAGCCACGTGGTTGGCCGCGGCCTTGGCGACAAGCAGGTCAAATCTAGCTCACCAGTTGGTTTCTTTCCGTGAAAGTGTTGTCAGCATGGTTCTGCATGGCAGCACTCGTTTCCCCGGCAATAGCAATTAAAGGATCGCGCGATTGCTTGTTACACAAGCCCCAATATGGTCAAATCACAGAACTTGGTCGCATTCTAAATTGAACCCAGCGTGTCGATCGTGATCGTGGGTTCCACTGCAGGTAGACTGCATGGTGGCCTAGGAGCTCTTTGCGTAAACAGGACTTTGCCAACATAGTGAATTCAGGTGTGTGCATGATACCTATACGCCACCCTCCTCAAGATCGAACACGCCGTGGCTGGTCAGCCCGGGCAGCCACGCAGTAACAAAAGAAGGGCGGGTCAAACTTGGGCTCGAAGTTGCTTTTTCTCATGCCCTCCCCGCCCTTTTGAACATTGCGACATTGTTGCACCCCTTTGAAATGCGAGATTAGCGCTGCTTCCAGCATTTCTACTTGAACCAGTTCTTCAGTTTGAAAAAAGACCAACATCTGTTGCCAGGCTCCTTCTCTGTACAGCTCAAATCGAGCAACTGGGTCATGGGTAATCCCTATTTTGAACAAGGCAAGCTGGACTCCCCCAGTTGCTAGCCGAAGACTGTGAATTGCTTGCAGGCCATGCTCCAAAATTTTGCCTGCCCAAAACCGGTGGCTTGGGATGCACCACTCATGAATACCTTCACTGGCCAAGGCTGGGCAACGCTTTGGCCATTGCAGCATTGGCGGCCGCTGGATTGCTGGGACAGAAGGCGCATCCACGTCACTCTCAGTTTCAGTTCCCCATGGAAATAATTCACCATTCTGCTTCATGAACTCCACATAGCGGTTTGCCATGGCAGCAAGGGAAGCTCAAGAATTGCATGCAACTAGATCAATACTAAGTGGCCATGCACTGAAACTGAAACTATAGATATTGGCATCATTAATTGAAACTGAAACAGTACTTTGGTGTGAGGATTGAAATGGCCAATTCCCTGCCTCTAGCTTGGGGTATCAGTCAGGCTGAAGATGCAACTTTGTCAAATGTTGCTGTTTTGCATGGACGAACAAATGCTTATTTCAAAGTCACTGCACAAACCCTCCTGTTGGACTTTGCTTGATCGAGCTACTTTGACCATGCATGCATGCATGAGCGAACCCTCACGCGTGTGCACTAAACATTTTCAACACATGGTACGGAGCACAGGAGGCAAAGAAACAGCTGAGGTCACGGCTCCCCTGCACAGATGTCTGGTCAAGGAGTCAATGTTGTGGTCAGGCCGGATGTCCAGGCCTGGCCAGCGTAAACCGACCACATATGCCATATTCCACACGTGGTAAATGAACCATATCTCATGTCAAGAATGGCACGTGACGCACGTGCTGCAATATTTTTCCCCAGAGTACCCCGCAGGTTGCGCAATGCTTGCGCTACATCGATTCAACGTCAGCTTTGCCCCCCTACGCACCCCAAACTAACTCAACGAAATTCAATGAACCTGAAGTGAGGTCTAACCGCATTTTAGGCATGTGCTTGCTGTGGGCTTTCTGGGCTGTCAGTGCAACTTAATTGCCCTAGCGGTAGCCCATTGAGCTAAATATCAAACAGTTTCACTTCTG